ATGCAGACAGCAATGCTGTTTGCTAGCTCAGTGAGCTGAAACCTACGCTCGCCCAGCCGGGATGGAGCCTCAATCCACCCTTCTGATCTATAGCGTGGGAGCGTAGAGGGCTCAGAATAGCCCTGCCCACACTCGAGCCCAGCCAGCAACGTGAGAATCTGGGGTCAGCTACAGAGTGGACAGGGCCTGAGTGGGAAGAATGGGGTCCTAGGAAGGGGCAGGGAAAGACGGTGGGGATTTCCAGGGACACGGGAAACTGAAGGTGATGGGGGGGGTCACTGGTGCAAGTGTAACAGGAGTGGTGGAACAAGCCACCTTGGTGTGTGATTTGCTCAGATCCTGCAGTGAGACCTGGGATAACACAGCGGCGTAACGGAAAAAGTTCTGATTGTGTGTGTGTGTGTGTGTGAGAGAGAGCGAGAGAGCATTGACTTGTTTATTCTCGCTTGGGTGAGACAGGGATACATTATTTTGAGGTCAGTGTGCTGTCATCACTACCTATTGCGCAGGCCACTGTGACATCATCCCCTAATATTTGAGCAGGTGTCATATCACCATGAAATGCTTCAGTTAGTAGCATGACATCACTGTCATCCAATTCTCAGGGTGGAGCATAGCATCAGCACACAATGCTTGGGTGGGTGCACCATCATTGCTGGGCAATGCTAGGGCAGGCATGATGTCGCAGTGGAATTCTTGATGGTTGTGACATCATTGTTACGTAGTGCTAGGGTGGGTGTGATGTCATTCCTGTGGAATGCTCAGACGGGTGTGACATCATTGCTATGTGCGATGTCATCCCTATGGAATTCTCAGCTGGGTGTGATATCATTCTATGCAGCGTTGGTGTGGGTGTGATGTCATCCCTGCGGAATGCTCAGATGGGTGTGACATCATTGCTGCATGTGATGTCATCCCTATGGAATGCTCAGCTGGGTGTGACATCATTCGATGCAGTGCTGGTGTGGGTGTGATGTCATGACATGTGGACTGCTCAGACGGGTGTGATGTCTTTGCTGATCCCCTAAGCAGGAGCACAGCCCTTTTCTGGCTAGGCTAGAGCAGGTCCTTGAGTCGGTCCCATAGAACCCTTCCAATCCAACACACCCCTGGATGTTACATGCCAGAGGTGTATTCCCCCCCTTCCCAAGCTACCAGGAGCTGAGCTCGGCGCAGCCCGGGAAATAGTGGCTCCTTGTTCTTTCTGCCCCTTCCCTCCTTGTTGGTGGAGCTTAGAGAAGAAACAGAAAGGTGGGTCTGTCCAAAAGGAACATAAATACTGGATTTTCCGGTGCGGTTGCAGGGACCCAGCCATGAATGTGCCTCTCACAGGCCAACTGCACAGAAACCTCTTTCATAGCGAGGGGCTGAGCTTTGGAGAATGAAACACTGAAGGGGAAACAGTCACCCTCAAACCAGGGCACTTCAGGCACATTAATGAAGGGGGAGTCACCTGGAGGAGGCACCGGCCTTCGGCCTCCAAGGAATTAGCCGGGGGTGGGGGAGGCGGATCATGCTGGGGAAGTTCTTTACCTTTGCCAGGGCTCGCAGGGAAGTGAGCACGCAGAGAGAGCGGACGAGAGGCTGACGAGCCTGGGACTCATACATGAGGATCCAAGAGAAACAGCGACCGGGGGAAGGCTTGGGAGACGGAAGCAGCAGGCTGGAAATACCTAGACGCCTTGGAACACCCACAGTCGGCTCCCAGCTTGCTCGAGGCGGGTGGAGGGTCTTACATGAGACGTGAGCCAGCGAGGTCTGAGGAGAGGCCTGCTGCCTTCATCAAAAGCAATGAGGGTTTTGCCTTGGGCTTGGGAGGAGCAGGGATCCCCCAATTCTGCCTCCACCCTTACGTGGACATTAAATATCCTGGGACAAAGGGATTTTTTTTCCCCAGTATCCTCAGACGGAATCTCTCCTCCCCTCCTCGCTGCTGCCGTGCCAGCTCTCACATCAGCTTCTGCTTGGGGTTATGCCCGGGTACAAGTCACCCGGAAGGTAACTCCGCTGAAGTCAGGGGGTGCCTTTCGATTCACACCAGGATAAGCAGGCAGAGTCCGGCTCGGCTGATTGACGGGGGTGGGGAGTGACTGTAAGGAAAGGGGGGCGGAGGAGTGGGGGAGCACTGGAAGGTGAGTTTGCAGGGAGGGGGGTATTTAACCTGAGGTGTGAGAAGTGGGATCGGGGTGGGACGAGGGAGCCCCTGGGGTAGTTTTGTTCCAGGCAGGCTGTGCCGTGTAAAGAAACGTCATCAGAATAAACAAGGCCTGGACCAGCCTGAGTTCTGGCCTCCTTCCTCCTGCCCTCTCCAGAAACACTCTTCCTCCAAAGCTGCGTCTGCCCCAGATACTCTGCCACCCCCCAGAATCAACTCATCTTCTGCTCCGTGCCTTAGATCATCACACTGAGGATCATGCTTTCCTGTGGCTCACTGAGATCAGGACCCTCTGATAAATGATCCCCTCCTGCTTGACAAATGTCTTCTATCGTTTCCTCATGTATCACGCCTCGCAACTCAGCTTGTTGGCGTACGCTCGTTGGGTGAGCAGCTTCCCGGGATTCAGCATCACATGGAAGAAGAAGGGCTCACCTTTCTTTGAGGTCTGTAATATCACAGTCCAGATCTGAGGGCTCTCTGTGGGAACAGGGCTGGGAAGGAGAGAAACTCCGACCAGGACAACGCTGAGAGAATTAGGAAAGATGAGCAGAGTCTGGTTTAAATAGGGTGGGACTTGGAAGTTCCCTTAGGGGCTGATGCCACTTGATGAGCCTGAACCTGGAAGTTGCTGAGTGTCTCCTGAGAGGGACTGAATGGCCTCAACCCTGTTGGCCTGTATTAGATAGTCACCTTACAGGATTGGGCCCTGAGCATGGTTCTACTAAAAACATCACAAGAGATAGAGGGTCAGAGGAACTGCACCTACTCCAAGCCAGCATGCAGCCATGGTGACACAGAGAAGACAGGATTTGGCCCTCTCACCCCTGCTGGGGATTCTCCTGGCACAGGGGGCAGGAACTCCCTTGTGGGCAAAGAACCAGTGTAGTTGGCTCCAATACCATGCAGGCACTCTGTTGGCCCCTGAGGACTGTTGCCAGATGGTGCAAATTGGAGCAGCCCCCAGGCTGCTCTAACCTATGGCGGCTCACAGGGCCCAACGGAGAATCAGGGAGTTGATTACAGTAATCAACTATACCACCCACTGCACTGACTGGAAACTCAGCACAGCAGAAAATCTGGCCCAGTATTTTGGGCTCCAAGAGTAACTTAGAAGGGTTTAAGAAATACGAGTACTATCACTTGTGCTCTCAGTGACACCAGAGATTATGGAAATTGAGAGAATTTGTACTAATTGGATTTACTTTGATCAATGGATTCCGGTTCTTTGCTGTTTGCATTTTACTCAGCTTGGACTGTGGAAACAGCCTGGTCAGCTGCACGCCGGTTTAAGTCAATTGCGCTTTCAGGAGCACGAGGCTGCAGGGCCGGCTGGGTTGCCAACATAGCAGAGGAATGTTTAGCTTAGACAAAATATTGTTTTCATTGGTATTTAAAAAAAATCAAACTTCATGAAACCATTTGCATTAATATTAGGCTTTACAAACCTAAACTCTAGGCTTCAATTGGCCGGGCCATTGTTTGTGTCATGGTGATAACCGTACAACCAAGACTGGTTGGGGTTTAAACGGGCGGATGCTACCAGGCTGGCTTTCTGCATGCGTCTGCTCATTGCTGGAGGCGATGTGATCCGAGTCAAACGCTCCAGTGTAAAAACTCACCACAACCTCCACACCACAGAAACCACCCTGGCATTTGGCACTAATTGCCCCCCTCTGGTTGGCAGGCTCGGGGGTGACGCTGAGGACTGATCTGACCATGAAAACTGAACTCCCCTTTTATCCCCAAAGGGTGGTCTGTTTCCAGCTCAGAGCTGAGGCATGCTGGTAGCGGGGTGTGTGTGTGTGTGTGGAAACTGGCTTGATGCAGCTCATATTGTGCTTGTTCTGTGGAAACATAAAGTACTTCAGTCTCCAGGGCTGATCTTCGACCAACTCTTCACCACACAAAATCAAACAACTACAAACCGGTTCTTAAAACACAGCCCAAGTGACGCTGATGTCTGATGAGAGTTCTGGACTCTCTCCCCTTCTAGGGATTTTCCGGGCATGGAGGGGTGGGCATTCCCGAGAGTGCATATAGCCAGTGTAAATGGCTTCAATGCCATCCTTTCTGCAACCCTTGCTGCAGGGGGCACTCCATTGGCAGGTGGTCCTTGGAGGGCTGGGTTCTCAAAGCTTTCCAGACTGTGACAGGACCTCCCTGTTAAATCTAGCTAAAAGGAAGGGAGGGTTGACAGCCCCCCGGTGGAGAACCCATGCCATAGGCTGCAGGGCTGGGGTGGGGGAGGGCACTTTTTGGCTGGGCCAAACCAGAGTGACCCTGTGCCCCTGTGCACCAGGTGGCAATGCCGCTCATTCAAATGTAGAGGGGGTGGGTGTAGGGGCTCATGGGCCGGTGGCAGGTCAGGTGGCAGAGGAAAATCTGTGCTCCCTGCCACTTTAAATGGGACTCCGCAGCCCCTGTCTAAAGTAACATACAGCTGAGATAGGCACAATAGGTCACTTCTGGTCACTCGGCCCCCGTCAAGGCTAATTCCCCACTCTGGCACTCTGAGTGCAGAAGGTGGGGGCCTGCAAGGAGTCTAAAAATTAATACTGGCCACTCCAGGCTTGTATTAAACTTCCGAGGTTACAGCTTTTCTCTGACCTTGGATGGGTAGATGCTGCCACCACCCAAGTGCAAAAGACCCCTTTTAGGACCCAGGAAGGCGCTCCTGGGAATTCCTTCCTGTGGGGTACCCTCAAGCCCTTTCACCCCCACTCCGGGGAAGAGCTGAGAAAGAAAACAAAGGAAATCAGCACCAGCTAATTAAAATACGTGCACAAACCTCTTAAGACACAAAAATTCAAATTCTGTTCTTAAAAAAGGTAAATTTTATTAAAAACAAAAAGAAAGAAATACATTTGAAAACTCAGGCTATTGCTAGATTTTAAAGGAGCAATTTCCAAAAATTAAGCACTGAAACTAGCTTTCTTGGGGGTTCAGCTTGAAGGTTACAAGCAAACAAAAGCATCTGGGGTTAGCACAGAGGAGTCCACTAGCCATAAGAAATAAACCTGATTGCGTCTTCCTAGACATTTCCTGATCGACCTACATAGCTGAGTTTTCAAATAAGCAGTTTCTAGGTATGATTCTGATGATTTCATACCTGGCCCAAGCTTCTCACAGTTCCCCTCTTCCCAGACACAACAACAGACACAAAGGGGAAGTTTTTCCCCAATTTTAAAAAGTTCTAGCCTTCTCATTGGCTCTTTTGGTCAGGTGCCCACTCCCTTTCTTTTACCTATGGACTTTTTTAAATCCTTTACAGGTAAAGCAAATAGAGAACAGCTACTAACAGGGATTTTATAGCTAACTGGCTGGCTGGGTGTTCATAAAAGGGAGCCCTCTTCATTTATCACAGCCCCCGACACCAGGGTGTCTGAGCACTTCACAAGCACTGATGCATTTAACCTCACAACACCCCTGGTTGGTAGGGAAGTCTCATTAGCCCCATTTCACAGATGGAAAACAGAGGCACAGACTTGCCTGCAGTCACCTGCGAGCCAATGGAGGAGCCAGCCACTAAATCAAGCTCCTCTGAGTTTCACACCAATGCTTTTTCCACACAACCATCTCCTCTCCAACATGCTGTGGTCATATGCCTGGATGATCACAGGCCGCCTTGCCGGAGGATCTAAACACACTGAGACCCAGGAACACCTGGGTTCTCATCCCAGCTCAGACACTGACACCTCTCTTTAGCCTTGGGCAAGTCACTTAGTTCTACCTCTGTCTCAGCTTCCCCCTTTGTCAACTGGGGACGATGATAGTGGCTTTGCGCGTGGGTGCATGGAGGGGGGAATCCTGAGGGTTTGACAAACACTAAGGCATATTAAGCTTTCCGAGGCAGCCCCCTCTGGGGGTAAGAATGGGATTTAGGTTGTGAGCTTTGAGGCAGGGACCGTCTGTTTGTCCAGCGCCTAGCGCACTGGGGTTCTGGCTCATCACTGGGGCACCCAGGAGCTATGGTAATACAATCATAATAATGTAATGCCTTTCTTGGCTTTGGTTTCTGAGTATTTATTTACAGCATTTGTGCTGTCACCACACTGAGGTCATCGGCTCCAGCCAGTGAACCAGCTGCATGTGATGCTGGCTGGCACGCCTCTAAAAGAGATCTTTGTGGCCCCAAAGCATCTCCGCTACATGACACCCGGCTGATAGATGGCACATTATCAACTGCTCCCTATTCAACAGTGTCCAAAAGACCAGCATGGTGCCAAACATTTTCATCCTAAATAAATATAACCATCTCATTAATGCCCCTTCATATTACTATGGCAGTGATCAACCATGGTGCTGTTACACGTAGTCTTACAAGTTTCTTTTTTTTTGGCAGACAAGTGTTTAGTCTTGGAAGAAACCACTGTGTTGTGTTTTGTGATGATGTTTCTTTCTGGGGGAGCTGTAGCAAGCAGCGGGGAGGGTGCTCCCTGCCTTAGTCTCTCCAACTGGAGTCAATTCTGGAGGCGGAGGTGCTCCCTGGCAACAGCACTTTGGTATTTGTGCTCAGATTTGTGATGGAGAGGACGCCTGCATGCTATTTGTGACCACCTCTGTTCTAGGAGTGACGTATATGAATCCTCGAGGTCTTGCCACTGAAATACAAGAACAGCGCTGAGGACACTTAAGTCGACAAGGCGGGTGGGGGAGCTTTGTGGCACATGGAAGGAAAAGAGAGCTCTAACCACAGGTTTCTAACCAGAGCTGCGTTTTGTTCCCAGGTTTGACTATCAGGAGTTGCTGCACAACTCCACCTTCTGCATCATCCCCCGCGGCAGGCGGCTGGGCTCCTTCCGCTTCCTGGAAGCGCTGCAGGTACCACTGCGGGCAAGACAGCGGGAAATGTCTGTAGTCAGTCCGTGAATTTCCCTCCTCACCCCAATCCCAGGGCACAGGAGCCTCTGAGAATGGAGAGAGAGAGAAGCAGGGCAAGAGCCTGAGCCTTCCCCCACCCCACACACTTATCTCAACGTCTCCAATTCTGCTCCTCAGAGATCAGTGCCCCTTCCCCCTCCTCCTTCCTCTTCGCTCCTTCTACCCATCTTCTCCTCTCCCACTTCCATCCCCTTCCCTGACACCTTCCACTCCCCCACCCCCATCCCCTCCCTCTGCTGCTAGCCCTTCCTGTCTATTCCCTTGGTAGAGAAGCAGCCATCAGGAGGGTCCCTGAAGAAATCATGCCTGCCTCGGGCTGGCCGTGAGCAGGGTTAATGCTCCTAGGTCTTGGACGAAAGCAGTCTTTGAAAGGGGGCTCTCTAGAAATTATTTGGGCTTCCAATACCACTAGCCAGCTGCTGTGTGCCTCCCTCAGGCCTCCTGTTTCCCCCACCCCGTCAGACCCAGCGGCCGGGCTGTCGGCCCCTGAGCTGGTGGGTACAAGCCTGACTGGCCTGGGTCTCATGAGCGTGGTTGTCTGCTGTTTCTCATCCATCCAGGCTGCTTGCATCCCAGTGCTGCTCAGTAACGGCTGGGAGCTGCCATTCTCCGAAGTGATCGACTGGAGTAAATCGGCCATTGTCGGGGACGAGAGGCTCCTCCTGCAGGTAACGCAGCGCCTGGCACAGGGTGGCACAGCAGACAGTGCCATGGTGTGAAGTGCCTTTCGCTCACAGCACCAGAGAATTACTGGCCATCGGATCTCCCTGTTCTGGTGGCGGACGGGTGGATCACCCGTTAGCCGACGGCTGCAACAGAGCCGGACAGGGCAGCCAGCCATCAGAAATTGGCCTACCAGTCGTCCCCTCTCCCAACCCTTGTCCCCTATCTCCCGCGGCAGATGTGTCCTGCCTCACCCTCCCACAGCTGGCTTAGAGCCCGTGCTGCTCCCACTGAAGTTTGCTATTGACTTTGGGGGAGGGCAGGCAGGACTGGAAGGCTCATTTAACACCCCACAGGGGCGGCTTAAGGGAGAGAGCTAGAGAGGTGTTAATCAAAGGCCTGAGGGGACACCAGAGAAACTCGCTCTTTGCTGCAAAATGCATTGCCTGCAGGTGATGGAAAATGGTGCCTGGCTTGTGCCCTTGTCAGCGCAAAACAGTGGATTTGAGTAGGCCCTATATAAACAAGCCTGCTGTGCACATCTGCACGGAACATTAAAGGCTAGATTGTACCTTTAGGCTCAGTCTGACCAACGGCTGGCATTTAAGCTTCCCCCTGCCAGGAGTAGCCCTGGGAGGAACAAACCCCTTCCCCCTTGCTTTGGGTGTGTAATAATTTGCTACTGGCCTATACCAGCAGCAAGTTCCAGTGAGCCCCAGGACAACTCAGCTGTGCTGAACCTACCCACTCCCCCACACCTGCTCCACTGGGGGTGGTGGGGTGGCTGGATCGAGGCCTGGTTTTGCTTAAAATGTTTTTAACCCTCTGGCCAGGGTTAGGGCCTGGCTCCCCAGTGCCACAATAAGAAGGAGACACTTTGCCTGGCTGCATAAACCTTACTAACCCCGTCCCCTCTCTCTGTCTCCCCGCTTCCGTGGTTTTTGTCCTGCTCAGATTCCTTCCACCGTTCGCTGTATCCCCAGTGACAAGATCCTGGCGTTCCAGCAGCAAACCCAGTTCCTGTGGGAAGCATATTTCTCCTCCGTGGAGAAAATAGTGCAAACCACCCTTGAGGTGAGCCACAAGCTTCTGGTATCTCTCCCGCAGCAGCTCCCTCGGTGACCGTTCCACGTAGTTTGGGTTTTTTTAAACAGGCAACAACAGCTGGGACCAACAACAACAGGGTGGTGGCAAATCCCACCCTGTCTCCATCCCATGGGGGGGAGAGAGCAGATCAGGGCAGAGGGATTGGCACCAGCTCAGTGCAGGAGTGAGTAGACGGATGGGAAATGTATCGCTACGACAGTGCCAGCCACTAGGGGGCACTGTAGGGAACGGGGCAGGAGTGCTGGTTGTGGGGGAGTGCCTAGCTACTCCAGTCCCAGCCTCTCCCAGCAGGGTGCTGTGGGGTGTGGGGCAGGGGTGCTGGCTGATGGGCTTGCCTAGCTCTACAAGAGGAGCGTGAGCCTGTGTCAGCCTCATTGGGCAATATTTTGGTGGACTTTTCTGCATAGGGCTGGGAAAGGCTCAGAGCTCCGGTCCCTATGTTAACAGCTGTGATTGGACAGAAAGATGAATTTGTTCAGCTAAGTGGAAGGGGACAATAACAGATATTGCCCACGGACCTGTTGCCTTCTGGCTTCAGGGCAATTCAAATCCCTACTGTCTCCACTCTGGGCACTCAAACTCATGTTTTCCTGAGTCACTCAATGAAAAGAAAAGACTTTAACTGGACATGATAAGCAGGATGCCTTGACCACAGGAAGCCAGCTGCCGCACAGCATCTACCAGGGCTTCCCAGCTCTGCCCCATGGTTGGCTTCTAACCCAGTTTCTCCCTGGAGCGGAACATGGGCCATTAGCCCTTTGTCTGCAGAGAGACCACTCTCTTCCTTTCAGGCATTGCTGGATGGCTGTGGATAAGCCAGTAAAGAAATAGGTTCTCTAGCTCATTATGTACCAAGCTTCCTTCTCTTGTCTCCCTCTTTGCCTTTACCCTGTTCTCCTCCCCTCAAGACCACAGGTTCAAATCTCACCCAGCTCAGTTATGACCAAAATTGACTATCTGCTGGCTCTTCAGCGGCACCTGTGAAATGAGCCTGGGGGGGTCTCAGCGCAGCTCCCAGTGGACAGGTTGCCACTCCAGAGAGACCATCCCAAAAACTGATGATCTCAGCAAGGCCAGGAACTCAAGCAGACCCAGGGCCAAAGTCATCCTCAGTGTAACTCCACTGCAGGGGGTTGGACTAGATGACCTCCTGAGGTCTCTTCCAACCTTAATCTTCTATGTTGCACCAGGGATGAATTTGGAATCCTGGTGCTCTCTTATCTATCCCAACAAGCCCCTGCCCACAGGCAGGGCAGGGCGGGGGAAGCTTGCCCTGCCTTTGCCCTATGGTGAGGCAACTGGTAGGCTGAGATCGCTGGCCAACATCTCATTGTTTCCTTGAACTGTTCAATGCTCCCTCCTCTCTGTCTTTCTCCCCCTGTTATCTCTTAGCTCACACTTGCACGGTGAGCTCTTTGAGGCAGGGGATATATTTCGTTCTGTTTGTACAGTGCCTAGCAGACCAGGATCCTGGTGCTCCTGGGTGCTACCACAGCACAGTACATAAATATAATAGTCATAGAATATCAGGGTTGGGAGGGACCTCAGGAGGTCCAATCCCCTGCTCAAAGCGGGCCCAATCCCCAGCTAAATCAAATAGTCATAGTAACAATGATAACAGAGGCCTTCAGGCCCCAGGGCCATCCATGCCACCCCTCTGCCCAATGCTAAATTCACACACAGCAAAGCTGTCAGGCTGTGAGTCTTTCGAATGGCATTTCCCCTTTGGGAGCAAGACCCAGACTCAGCGTTATCTTTTACACAAAGCCTCCCATCAGAAAGGAGAAGTGCGCGATCGTGTCAAGATCCAGGGCTCAACCCCCGCCGATAAACAGAAAAGAGTTTGACATCTGTCTGTCACCGTCATTTCTGAGCAGCCTGCCAGCATGGGCCGCAGGGAGGCCGCGTCTCCCAGTTATTCCGGTTGGGTCGGAAGAAGGAAGTGCCAGGAAGTCTGGTTTTGTGCCATTTCCAGCCCTGTTGTTGCTGCTCAGCAAGGCTGAGATAGTTCAAAGCAGAACGTTTGGCCGCTCAGCCAAACCAAAAGCTCGACTTTCTGAGGTCTGCTCATTGCTATAAATAGGGAGCGAGGTCCAGGGCCAGATTTTGTACCCTTGGGGAGGTGCCAGCCCACCCCATTGAAGTCAGTGGGGCAGCATGAGCAAAGGGCTCAGCATCTGGATCCAAAGTGCTCTGAAATCCTGGGGGGGCTTGTTCATCTCAGGATAGAGATGGGAGATCTAGCAGTTCAGTTCTAGAGCCCATCTTGGTTTCAGCCCATCTCCTAGTTACGCATTTAGCCTGTATTCTGCTTCCACTCACTGGTGTAAATCAAGAGGAACGCTACTGAAGTCAGTGCCGTTAGCCTGGGGTAAAGCTGGTGCGGCAAGAGAATCAGGGATTTATGCATTGACCACTGTACAATATAAGCAGGACCCCACCCACCACCCCAACTTTCAGGACTGAGGGATGGTTTCAGATGGAAGCCAGGCAAAATTCAGTGACAAAGTCGGGCAAATTGTGGTGGATTTGAATCAGTTTCATGCTGATTTGAATCTCAGGGCAAAAACTCAGGGGTATGATCCCTCCCTCCCCAAATCAACGCCCCCCCCACTCTGTTTGCACAACTCCCTGGCCAGCCAGGTCCTGCAGAGTGCAGCACACCCTTTGTTTGGGTGACGTTGGGGGGCCTGGGTTGCATTTCCCCAGCCCCGGGTTTGCAACTGGATGTTGTCTCCTCTGCTGAGCACTGCTGGCTTGATGCGCCTGCTTGCTGCTAGGGTGATGAAAGCAGTCTCTATCTCTCACCAGATAATAAAGGATCGGATAGTTCGTCGAGAATCCCGCCCCAAGTTCTTGTGGAACACCCTGCCTGGGGGGCTGCTGGCTCTGCCGGAGTATTCCACCCACCTCGGTGACTTCCCTTTCTACCACCTGCAGCACGGTAGGAACCGCTCCCTCCGCCCACCCCGGGTGTGCCCTGGCGCTTCCCTTGGGAACCCCTGACTGATCCGATCTCTCCCTTTTCAGGGTCCAGCCCCTCTGGCAAGTTCACCGCTTTCATCCGGGCCGTCTCCCCTGTGGTCTCCCTCTCCCAGCCCATCCTCAAGCTCATCCAGACTGTCTCCAGATCCCAGCACTGCGCCCAGGTCAGGGGCAAAGGTTAACCCCCCCCCCCCAGCCACGCTCCTGGGTTCTAACGCTGCGGAAGAGAAGACGAGGGCCCAAGCTACTGCTTTGTTCTCCCTGTTAGAACTAGAGACAGGCCCGAACCAGGTACCCCTGGGCTTTGGGAACATTTGGATTGGATCTGAACCCCTCTCCCACTGAATTGACTGGAAGGGCCCCCATTGACTCCAGCAGGCATTGGATCTGGGGCCATGGTGCCTTAGACCCACTTCTGACAACGGCACATAGAGACCCAGAAAGCCACGGAAAGACCCTGGTAGATCAGCAGGGGTGCTGAGCCCCCAAACCTCCACCAGAAAGTCAGCCCACAGCTGGCGGAAGTCAGCATAGCTCCATTCGCACCAACGGAGCAATGCTAATTTACACCTGCGGAGGATCTGGCCCAACTGATTTCAATGGAGCGATGCCGAATCGCCCCATGTGCGGATCTGACCCACGGACACCTATGGCGTGACACTGATTTATGCCAGCTGGGGGATTCGGGCCCAGTGACTCCAATGGAGTGACACCAGTTCTGGAGCTGGCCCCAGCAACTCTGAAAATCAGACCCAAAGGGTTTATCTGGGGCAAAGGGATGGGAGAGGGAAGAGTTTTATGTACCTTTATTAATCACCCTCTTTAACTAGACCTCGCCCCATGCCCGCAGCCCCGGGCAGGAGCATCCAGCCTTGGCATTACGATTTTTAATTTCGAGCTGGGAGAATACTTCCAGGCTCCAATTAGAAGCTATTTGCGTAGCAAGTAGAAGTTAAAAGCAGCCACAGGTGAGCGGTTGGGCCCCTAGTGACGCCCGGGTTTGTTTGATTAAAGCGAGGGTGGTAGCTGTGAGCCAGGCTCGAACTTTCCAGCTGGGTGGGAGGACTGGGAGGCTGTGGGTTTGGGGCACACCCTCCCGCCCCCTCCCAGACACACAGAGCCACCCACATGTGCTGACCTAGGCGCCCTCGGCTTTGGTTTTAGATCCTAGTCCTGTGGAGCTGCGAGAAGCCTCCCCCACCGAGGGGGAAATGGCCCCAGACAGCAGTGCCTTTGACAGTCATTCACGGCCGGCGGAAAGTAAGCAGTCGCCGGGTTGGTTTGTTTGTGGGCCTGCCGTCCCGGGATTTCTCAGGCGGGACAGGGAGGGCTGTGAACGGGCTATGCACCCCCCAGTGCACGGTGGGGCTGCTGCTCTCCGTGCTGCGGCAGCCCGGCCCTCCCAAGGGCCAGGGGAACGTGCAGCCGGGGAACGTGCGGCCAAAGAAACTCAGCCCAGATTTGTGCATCAGGGAGCGGCTCAGCGGTGGCCCAGCCGGGACTCAGCGGCAGGTGCCCGCTGCTCTGCACTAGCCTGCGCTCTCCATGGGATGGGGAAGGGACGGGAGGGGCTCTGGCCCCCTTCCTGACTCTGCTGTTCCCTCTCGTTCCAGGTAAGCGACCGTTTCTTCCCGTACTCGGCCATCGGGACGGATGCGGTGCTGAGCCTGGATGAACACACCAGCCTGTCAACCAGCGAGGTGAGACCCGGGGCTGGAGGGACCTAGATAAAGATGCCTTGTGGGAGAGCAGGGTCTCTAGGGGCTTCACAAGCTGTCCACAGATTAGCCACTGGGCCAACGGGGCCTATCCCGAGTGGCTCCAGCCAACCGGGGGACCCTGGAAAAATGAGCGCCCCCGTGCCCCAACTCACTCTGCCCGCCCAGTGTTCCTGCCCTGTCCGGCTCTGCCAGCCCAACCAGTGCTCTGACCCCATGGGGTAGGGGGTGGGGTGGGACTGCAGGCAGAATGGGTGGGGCTCAGGGCCCCACAAAACCATAATCCGCCTCTGTACCCAGAGCACCATGGGAAGTGCAGCCACCTCTCGGCTGGAACGTGGCAGGAGTTCAACAGGGCACAGCAACTCTACAGATCGTGTGATGTGCCGAGTGCCCTCAACTCCCAGGGCCTCCAAAGAATGCTCAGCATCGCAGGATCAGGCCCGAGTTGAGGGCAGGAGGGGCAAATAAACTATGGTGGGAATAGACCCTGTAATAATAATCAAGCTAGAATCTGGCCAGGACGTTGGGGTTAATGCCCCCCTCTTACAAAAAGTGCCACGGCCCCTGAGCAGCCAGAAGCTCTGCTTTACATCTCTCCAGCACAGCACCCCCCGCCGGGTCATTGGCACTTACCACGCTGGGGCACCAGATCTCCCAGGCTAAGCAGGGCTGGGCTGGCTGAGTACTTGAATAAGAGACCTCCAGGAAAAACCCACATGGCAGCATGCCACCTGCTGAATCACCCACGTCTCTCGCTGAGACACCTGGCTGTGCCTGGCAGGCCCTCCACCCAAGTACGCGCCCGGCCCAAGGGTGCTTACCGTGTGTGTTCCGGCAGGATCACATGGCAGCAGGCAGCCTGGCTTGCAGGCGAGGATTGAGGCATTGCGTTTCTGTTCTTAGCTGGTTGGGGTGTGGCTTGGGGGAGAGGATCCATGTCCTTAAAGGGAGTAGGGAGGTGCAGGTTGCATGGCACAAGGTGTCGAGGCTCGGAGAGGTACTGAGGATGTTTTGAAGACGTGCCCGTTCTTCGCAGAGAGTAGCGATGGTGGTAAAGATCGAGTGGGTCAAATGCAGATGGGCTCTGTCCTAGCCAGGGTAGTTCTGCTCTCCGCAGTGTTCTCCTCCAAACGATGGAGGCGTTTGTCTCCGGATCTGCTGCTAATCGGCCCTGCCCTGGTGGTGACCTCTCTCCGTCTGGCTCCCCAGGTTGACTTTGCCTTTGTAGTGTGGAGGAGTTTCCCTGACCGCATCGTTGGGTTCCCCATGCGGAGTCACTTCTGGGATTCCAACCAGAGCCAGTGGGGCTACACCTCCAAGTGGACCAATGAGTTCTCCATGGTTCTCACTGCAGCTGCGTTCTATCACAGGTAAAGCACCTTCTCCAGAACTTCCGGCCTGAGGGTCCCAGGGAGAGTGAACGCTGGAGGGCTCTGTTCTTCCACCCAAAAGCTCCACTGGAAGATGAACTAGCTTGAAGCCACCCAGTGGTAGGAACTGTCTATAGCCCAGACATGGAGGCTTCAGTCATAACAGGCCTGGGGTTAGATAGCACCTTCCAGCTGAGGATCTCAAAGCACTTACCCTTGACTGAGACGGTGGCTGCCATTTGCTACGTGTCTGTGCAGCGTCCAGGACAACGGGGCCCGGCCTGGCCATGTGCTGGAAGTGGTCCTGCAATGTAGTAACGGACTAATCGAGCCCCATGCCCCGGGAAGGAGTTCAGTAGGGCTAACCTGCTTTGGTCCTGCTTTGAGCAGGGGGTTGGACTAGATGGCCTCCTGAGGTCCCTTCCAACCCTGATATTCTATGATTCTATGAACCTCCATTTGGACACCAGGACAGGGAGGGAGACCTAGGCCAAGCTTTTGAAAAAGAGGAGGCTAAAGGTAGCTCCCTAAATCCATAGGCAGGGACCTGAAGAAGTGGCCGGGATGCAGGGAGTGCTGAGCACCCAGCCCTGTGCATCTAGGAGCGCTTCGACTGGTGCCCGTTTTAGAAAGTCATGGCCTGAGGGTCGAGGGCGGGAGGAGAACGTGGGTCTCCTGCTTTCAGCTCACAAAGAGCAGCCTTCATCCGTGCCACGGATGAAGCTGCCCAGCCAAGTGGCTGGTGCATTAGCCTGAGCATCCGTGGCTGGGGAAAGTCCTCTGAAACAGAGGAGAGGCAAGGAACACAGAGCAAGGACAGGGCCTGTCTCCACCCCGGCCTGTGGCGCCATGTGGAAGGAGAGAGCTGCCGGGACTTGCATTGTGACTGTAGGAGGCCTTTGGCCCATGGGACATGCTCTGGCCACCCCCAGCCTTGGGGAACGGGATGGTCCCTCGGTGGCAAAGCCAAGCACAGCGGAAATGTACAAGCAGGTCCAGCAGGCTCATGCTCTTTGAGACACCCCTCCCGTCTCTCCCCCCACCCCCGCCGCAGATATTATCACAGTCTCTGCCTTGCTCCCCCCCCCGCCCTCCCCCAGGTATTATCACAGCCTCTTCACCAATTACCTGCCTGCCAGCCTGAGGAGCCTGATCGATCAGCTCTCCAACTGTGAAGACATCCTGATGAACTTCCTAGTGTCTGCCGTCACCAAGCTACCTCCCATCAAAGTGACCCAGAAGAAGCAGCACCAGGAGGTAGGGAGCTGAGAGTGGTGCTTTGGGGCGCCACCGAGACAGGAGCGTACCAGGCATGGCGGGGGGGGTTGGGGGTTGGGGGGGGGAGCATAGAATCCTCAAAGTTAGGGTTCTCTTGGGCCCCCTCGGACAGTGCGGATGGGTCCTGCTGCCTGGGCCCCGGTGCCCTGCCCTGTTCAGTCCTTAATGACTTAAGCAACAGAGCTGGAAGCCATCCCGCACCCTGGTAGAGCTCACCACTAGGCAATGTTTCCCAATAGCCTAAAACATCCAGGCCTTACGTATTAACCTCTCGCTGCTGCTCAGTGCCATATGCCCAGGGGCCACCCTAAATATTTCCTTTACGTCCTCAGGGCTTAGCCCCTTCCAGCACCCGCAGAGAGCTCGGTCTGCTTCCCACCGTGCGGCCCAGCCAAGTCCCTTCAGAGCCCTCCTCCTGGGGCAGCGGCCACGGGCAGAGCACAGGGCTGGCGGCAGGCAGGCTGTGTGCATCCTGGAGGAACCAGTCCCAGCTCAGCTCAGAGACTGCTGTGCCCGTAGGGCAGAGGGAGGGGGAAGGAACTGGAGATGGACAGTCCCCTCAGGCCAAGACAGCAAAATAAAAGACATATACTTACCAGATGGGCAGGAGGTGCAGATTGTAACTGTTAGGTGCAAAACGTTCCCCCTAGAGCTGCAGCAGTTTGTTTCTCCCAGATTTAAAGGGCCAGCCCCAGGAAAGGCATTCTGGGAAAGGCTCCTATCAGAGGGCGACCCCACTGGCCACTGCTTCTGCTTTCCTCCGGGTCCTGGTCTTAGGCCACATCCCCTACAACGAATAACAGGAGCAGCTGCAACACGGCTCCCCCCAGGGGGTTCATTGCTCGGGGTGGGATCTCTCAGAGAGCTGGGGAGTGCCTGGTTCTCTGGCTTGTTCAGGGCCAACCTATGATGTAGGTGGAGAAGGGAAAGCCGTGGAAACTCCCAGCTCTCCCTCTGAGCTATCAGCCCTTTAGCTCCTGCACCTCCACTTCTCCTCTCTCGTTGCCTGCGGTTCGCTCGCCCATGTGTTCTGATCACAGTGCTCCGTCTACCTCCTTCTGTGGTTTTGATGGCTTCCCCTCTCCCTCCTTGGGGGCTGACGAATGAGCTACGGGGTCAAATGCCTCTAATTTAGGGTCTGCTCCTTGTCCTGCTGAAATCAATGGCAAAACCACCATTGTCTTCTTGGGAGCAGGGTAAGTCCCTAAGTCTGTGCAATAGCCCTGAGCACTCTCTTCTCCTCTTGCGCCCCGCAGAGGTCTAAGAGCGCGGCCGTCTCCAGCGGGAACCTGCAGTTCTCCCAGCGCCAGGACTGCCTCAACCAGTTCGCAGCCTGGTTTGGCTACATGCCGCTGGTGCACTCGCAGCTCCGCCTGGACCCCGTGCTGTTCAAGGACCAGGTATCCGTGCTGCGCAAGAAGTACCGGCACTTAGAGAAACCCTAGCGCCAGGGAGAGCCCAGCGGAGCCCTTGGGAAGCAAAGCTGGAAAGGAGGCAGCCATTGTCCTGGACGCATTATTCCCATGCTCCGAGGATACTGGACTGAGCTGGGATTCCAGTGCTACAGACTTTAACGTTACTGATCTAGCCGCCGTTACAGCCACGCGAACGGGAATCCCAGTGGGGCCTGGGGCAACGTTCCTTGCTTAGACCTCCCTAATGCTGGGCTCTGAGCGGGATACACTCACATTAACGGTAGCTGGCGAGATACTGGAAGGAATTTCTGTCTTTATTGGGTTTTACCAGTACAAATAAAGGTTTCCAGGGATGCTGGGCGCTTCCATTTCTTGACCTGCCTCTGGAGTCTCAGCTGGGTTTGAATGTATATTCCATTGATTGTCCTGGTGGCAGCCACAATCCCTATTTCAACTCACCAGAAATACAGGAGCAGAAATAGGGTCCTGTGGAAGTGCGGGAACACAATCCAGGGATCATCCCTCCCTCTGCTGCCGCTAGGGGTCAGCACCTGTCCGTGATACTCACACTGGGGAGCTGTTGTAATGTGTGCTGCCCTGTTAGGAGTTTGATCTTCCATGAATCCAAACTCATTTAATCTGGAATAAGCATCAAGGGTCTGTTTTATACCCATGCATTGAACAGTTCAGACTCAGCACAAGGCTGAGAATGAAGCCCAGTCATCCTCCCATCAGCAGACAAAACTGGTTATTGTCCTCAGATAAAAATAACCGTGGGTCCAGTCGGATGTGCCTCAGAACAACTATTGTGTCCGGTTCTGGATGTGCCACCTAAGGGCCCAGGGAGATGTCTAGAAAGCTCCTGTGTCTGCGACTCGCCTTGTCTACCTGTTCTTGCCAACCCACGAGGTCAAAAATCATGAATCAGGCCACCAAAATTATGAGAGATGATTTTTAAGCCCGATAGGTAAAAAAGTAGTAAATGGTGCATTTTTTCCTTTGCCTTGGGATGATGGAACATTTAGGGGGTCACATTTTTCCAGGTTTTCTCTGCAACCAGGAGAGCTAAAAACGTACTTTTTTATTCCCAGTGAAAGCCAAGAGTCTCACATAATCACCTGACTCCAGGAGCTGGGGCTTTAAGACAAACATCAACTATCATGCGATTTCTGATTAAAATCGCTAGGGTTGGCAACAATGGCTACCAGGCATGTTCTGCTCAACACAGCAGCACTAGTGTAAGGCTCGTGGGGTTAAATCACCTCGCACGGCAATCGTGTGCACTCAGGAGGGACTTTATTGTTCTTCCTGATGGAAACTTAGCTCAGGCTCTCGGCGGGGCAAAGCAATTACCTCCAAGCCTGTATCGTTTCTACGTGTTCCCCTAAAACGCCTCCTAGCAGCATTCTGTATTAAGCAAAGCCGTGCAATGGGAACCAGGACACCTGGCTTCTACTTCCAGATCTAGCAGGGAAAGCTGTTGAGTAATCAGTGCAGGGAACAGTGAGGCAGAACGCCTGGCTTCTCATCTTAACTCAGGCTCGCTTTGGCCCAAGGTATTCCGGTACCTCACATCGAATCATAGAATCTCAGGGCTGGAAGGGACCTCAGGAGATCATCTAGTCTAACCCCCTGCTCAAAGCAGGACCAATCCCCAATTTTTGCCCCAGATCCCTAAATGGCCCCCTCAAGGATTGAACTCACAGCGGTGGGTTTAGCAGGCCAATGCTCAAACCACTGAGCTATCCCTCCCGCACATAACTTTGAGGCTTTGGCCTTTGTGACCATGGCGAAGTCACTTAGTGAGCCCTTTTAAAAAATGTAGGCCTAATTATGGGTGCCCAGCTTGAGACCCCTCAGGCCTGAATCTCACCTTGTGTCGAGCACCCCAAATCCTGTTAAATCTAAGGGGAGTAGCGGGTCCTGCAGCTCAGGCCCTAGTGTTACAAGTTGGGTGCTTGGCAAATGGACACCAAGTTAGCAGATGCTTTTGAGAACATAGGCCTTGGCCGCTCTGTGCCTCAGTTTCCCATTGGTAAAAGCTACTTTTCCCTAGCTATACTTCCTTACCTTCAACCACCATTCCAGGGGACATGCGGATGATGGGTTCTGCTCAGAGAGGTATTGTGGGGCCTAACGTTTGATTAGCTAACCGCCAGTTGGCTTTTGGCTCATGCACTAAGCTCCAGAGGTCCCAGGTTCAATCCCACCCACTGACGACCAGGGTCTATCATGGTTACATGAGCACAAAGGGTTAGCTCTGTGTGCTTTGGCCTAAAAAGAACTCATGCGGGACCGTGGACTCAGCAAGACAGGGCACCGTTGTGCAGAAATTCATGCTGTTAAAGCACTGCAGCAGCTGTTGCCAAAATTCTTGTGGCACTGCTGTGGGGAAGTTCGCAGCAGAGTCATATTGTTCAGTTTCTGAGCTGAACAAAGGCAGCATTATTAGCGATGAAACCGACAACCTGAGCGCTTGCTGAGCAGAACCTGTCAATGGCAGAGAAAGAAAGAAAGGCCAAACGGAAGTCATTAGCTCCTAATTAAACAGCCATAAACATGAATTTGGACCAGCCTCAAACAAGAAGATAAATGAGACACAGCAGCTGCTTTTGAAGCAATGTGCCGAGGAGGCAGTTAGGTTGCTGCCGGGGTCTCCAGAAGTGCTTTGGTTAAGGTTCTCAGGATTATGGGCTCAGAAAATGATGCTTATAAATAAAGCTGGAGCGAGGCTGGATGGAGACAATGAAGTCATAAAGAAATCCTGACGGTGGATTTCCCACTGGAATTTCAGCTGGGGTGATCTGAAGGAAATAGCTGAACATGTTGTGAAAGCTACAGGGCTCCCACAGCGTATTTCTGATCATTCAGCCTTTAATTGCTTCCCCATGATACAAATATCTCGCCTTTATCCCTCTCCTCTGCCAGGTTCCACAAACGGGAATTGCCTCACCCACCACTGAAATGCAGCCTCCTCTGGGGTGGAATGCAGCAGTAATTGAGCAACACACACCAATGGCACACAAGATTTTGCGGAGGGAAGTGAAGAATACCACTTCCAGCTTAAATTGTTGGCAAGCTTTTAGGGAGGCAGACGCCCAAATTGGAATTTAGCCAGGGCACGGGAGTTAACATCCTGTAATTCTTGTAGAAGGGGTCCAGGACTGTGTAAATAGCTACGAATGGTCAGGATGGCTGGCTACCTAGCAAGACAGTGTTGCCTAGTGGAGCTCAGGACTAGGACCAGTGATACCTAGGTTCTAGTCCCAGGACAGCTGCTGGGTGATCTTGGGAAGTCATGGTGCCTTGCTGTGCCTCAGTTTCTCCATCTGTAAAATGGGGACAGTAATAGCTCATTCATAACTGATGTGTGTGAAGATTAATTAGTTAATATCAAGTAATTTTCTGTATAAGTGTACTTGTTTTTAAGTCTCCCAGTCAAGTCCTAACCAAGCCCAGTCTTCTTTGCTTGGGAAGGTTGCTCAAAATCCACATCTGACACTGACCCATTTGACTCACAAACCTATTAAAACCCTCCGGTGAGGTCAGCCTGACTGTGAGAAATGAATGGAGATTCCTACAGACAGGACCAGATCTTCAGCAGGTGTAAATGGATGGAGCGCACTGTCTGCAGTGCTGCTAAGCTGATTTACGCCAGCCAGGCCCTTGTGAAGCTACGCTGATTTACTGCAGCTGAGGATCTGGCCCGACAAGGTGAAAGTGGTTTCTCTAGCAGAGTCATTAAGGCCAGGGCTTTCCTTGCCTTTGCTGCTTTGAAAAATGACAGCTCCACCCATCGCCCGAGAGAGCCGTAAAAACGTTCTGAGCAGTCTATAAACAATGGGAAGCCAAGCCCGTCAGGAGTGATTATTTCATAAAGAGGGTGGCTCGTAACCTCTGTGTCATAAATATCACTCCACCGCGGCTGCATAAATAACCCTGGTTTTATTTCCAAGCCGCACTGCGAGCGGCACCGTAAATAATCCTGGGACAATCATTCGTGCAAGGGAGCAGGCCTCGTTGCCCATAAAACATGCCTATGGGCACAGGCTCCCTCTCCCTGCGGGGGCTTAGCTCCGTCTAGGCGGTGCTGAGCACCCATAACTCCAAAGATGTCGCTGCCCGGCCCGCACTAAATCAATCTGTCATTTGGGCATCAAGGAACTGACCTGATGGATCTTTCTGCCAGCGCCTGCCACTAGTGACTGACCAGAGGCAACCAACCCACTGCGCTGTTCATACCCTTCCTGCCACTGGCTGCAACGCACCTCACTG